TAACATGGTATTTTAAGCACTTTATAATTTGCTAATCTGCCCTTCTGAATGGTGACTTAATAGTTACAATTTAAGCCAGTTCCTAGTGGGAATAAATTTAATTAAGCCAATACACTATCATACTGAATTATGATTTGTTCCTTCACTGCAAACCAGCCTGGAGAAACATCCTCACAGGGTGTGTACCATTAAGCTTGAGGGGCACCATGCAAGAAAAGATAGTTCAGGTGAAATTAGCAACACTTGTGTATCTACTATCTACAGGGCTCTAAAATTACTGTGACTGAACTTTATAAATACAGTTGGTCAAAATCATCTTGAAGTATGAAAATTGATACAGTATAGAGACAACCAGAAAAGTTCACCTACTATTTCTGGAATCTCATAGACCACAAATATGACATAATACCACAAGAGAGAATTAGGACAAGAATTTCCAAGGCAGTAGTGAGATGAGGTCTATGTTTTCTCTTTGAAAAGTATTTACTTTCTTCAGAAATTCTGAAGTAACCATTAATCTGACTATACACCTAAATGTGGTTGTTTTGCCTTAGGTTTCTGGAGTCTTTATTATCAAGAATTTCTCATCTGCAATCAGAGAAAAGGAAAAGGACAGCTTTGTATTTGTTATAATCAAATATTGATCTGATTGAAAGTATTTCATTGTCACGTGTTCATGAATATTTAATAATTTTTTGAAGAAATACCACATTTTGGATATCTGGAACAAAATATCTGGAGTAGTCTATATTCCTCCCCTGTTTATATGTGAACAGCTAAAATTATTATCAAAGATTAACATTTGAGATAGCTCTCCTTCTTTAGGTAGATGAGTAAATATGGAATATATATCTTGAGTATCCGATCAACTCAATATTGTAACAAAGAGAAAATCTCCATCTATTACAATTCTTCTGGCCCAAAGCATTCATGTTTCCTTGGGATATCCCTTATCATGGCTTTCTCAGAGCAATAATAACACGACTTTGAGCCAACACTAAAAGCTATGCCAGAGCTGGTGTTATAGCTCAGTGGTAAGAGTGCTGGCCTAGGAAGTGTGAGGGTTTGATCCTCAGCACCATATAAAAATAAATAAAATAAAGGTATTATGCCCATATGCTTTTAAAAAAAACTAAAAAATAAAAGCTATGCCAAAACACACTCACAAACAATTCCAATAACATTTAGACATTCTGAGAATTTATGATTTAGTAACACAAAAAATGGCTAACTGGCACATCACACTTTGTGATTAGGAAATTTCATTTTATTCTTGAGTACTAGTCTTACTAAACACTTAACACTAGGTGAGAATCTGAATTCCTCTGTTCTCACAACTCCAAAATTTTGAACTCAACTGAGTTTTGGTTTCTACTGAGTTTTACTTGATTATTATTATTAATCATAAATTCTAAAAAATGACAAGAAATATATTCACATAAGAGTGAATTTTTTCTTCTGGTTTCTCTACTGTGACATTTCTTTTAATATAATAATTCATTCTTCAACTTTAATCCTCTTACCTTTTCTCTAGCTGAATAAAATTTATTGCCTGAACTTCAGGCATATTTTGCATGGTTTTCCTCTGAGAAAAGAAAACTCCTTACTGTTTCAAGTCCTAGCCCAACTCACCTCCAAAGTAATACACTTAGGGATAGTGCAATTCCAAAGTAACCAAGAAAACAAATAATCGAGGTCACTTGGGAAAGCAATATAGTGTAGTGGCAACAAAGTATGTAGTGAGAAGCATTACCTTATTTAATCTGTATGTGAAGTGCATGTGCAGTGCCTGGAATGCATAGTTAAGAACTGAATAAATATTACTTATAATTATCTTTTCTTGTAATAAAATTGTTTCTGTTTAGAAGCTTCTAATACCTCTATCTAGCTTTGAACATAGATAAAATATTGATTTAAGTCATTTCATGTCTTGGCCTTTGTGATTCTTTGAGTGCTTAAATTCCACCACACAGAAATTACATAAGCAAAATTTTATTAATGGCACTAATGATTCATGTGCGAAAGAATTATGCACCTAAAGTCTACCAATGTGCAGCACAATGACAAAAGAATATTTATACACAAAAGCAAATATTTTAAGAATTATTCGCATCTATGAAATTACTCTTTCCAATGATTCAAATGGAAGATAAACATGATTTTCATAGCATTAGGAGAAATATTATCAGCTGAGAGAACATTATGCCAAATACTAAACATATACAATTAATTGTTTGGAAATTCTAGAAGAGACACTTGGCACTTGAATATTATTGGCTAAAAAAATGTCCTGTTCTGCTTGGGAAAATTTGTCATCTTGGAAGGGACACACATGGGGAGATGAGAGATGAATTGGGGCCAGTTACTACAAAGAAAATATCCTCAAGATAAATGGAATGACATATGATGCCTAGATCTTCAATCTCTGCCATGATTTGGACGTGGTTTTTATCCCCAAAATTTGTGTGTTGGAAGCTTTAATCCCCAGTGTGGTGATGCTGTGTGAGATATTTCAGAGGCAAAGCTGATGGTTTTGTTGTTGGGGTATCACCCTCAGAAGGAATTAAGGTAATTCTTGTGGGACTTTGAATTAGTTCTCCCGAAAGAGTTGTTCTGAAAAGAGCAAGTATGACCCCTTCCCCTGTTCTGGATTCCTGCTTCATCATGTAATCACTCTGTTACATACTACCAATATTCTGATGCCATTTGCCATGAAGCTGTCACCAAACCTGAACTAATAACTGGTACCACGCTCTTGAATCTACAGAACTGCAAATCTAATAAAGTCTTCTTTCTAAAATACCCAGCCTCAGGTATTTAAGTTACCCAAGAAAACAGTCTAGGATACCCTCTTATCTAGCTAATTTTGATTTTTAAAATCATATTGAGACCATATTTTTAGGCTACTCTCAGTTTGATTAAAATATACATGATCAATAAGGGGAAATGCATGCATAAAATACAAAATAAACATTTAAGTATTTAAGCTTACTTCAAATAGGGACTTGGCTGGTTTTGACCTTCATTTCCTGAGAGGGTCCTGTGATGGAGGATCTGATGGCTCAGAGTTTGAAGTCTAAGGAGAACTGAAGTGTCAGCCTCTAACTCTACAAGTTCATTTTAGTTGCAGCAACTAAGTAGCTCTTCCATTTTCACTTCAGAAAAAGGTTTGGGGGTCACAATGATATTCTTGAAGAAGTTCTGCCTACACTCTTTTTGATTTTTTTTTAAACATTCTTATTGGATGCATTAACAGCAGTCTGTAAAAAAAAAAATCCTTTCAGAATCTGGGTCACTTCTAATCAGGCACATAAATTCTTTCTATTCAACAAGTATTTACTAAGTAGCTATAGAATGTTTAGTCAGTATTGTGCTAAATATTATAGGATATACCAAAAACCATGACTTGTTATTTTCTGCTAAGTTTTTTAAAAATTTATTTTGGGGAAGGGAGAGGGTGCTGAGAGAACAAGACTTTGTATGTGTTAAAAAGTACAAAAACATTGGGCTGGGGTTGTAGTTCAGTGATAGAGCTCTTCCTTTGCATGCATGAGGCCCTGGGTCCTATCCTTAGCACCACATAAAAAAAACAAATAAAAATAAAGATATTTTGTCCGTCTACAACTAAAAAAAAGTATTTTAAAAATGTACAAAAAATATTCAAGACAATTGAACACTAAAGAGCAAAAATTAAATTAGCCTTTTTGATTGATATAGTCTCAATTTTCAAGGAGCTAATAATCTTGGGATGGGTTTCAAAGGATAGGTAAGATTTGAACACACACAAGAAGGATAGAGCATATTCTAAGCAATCAACAATGCAAGTAAATATCCAAAGGCAGGAATAGCATGATATGATGGGAACAGAGAGGTTGTTGGGAAACAAAAATTGTTACTAAGTTGCTAGGTTCATGTAAGCATTAAAAAGTATTATATTATAGATCGGGAGGCTGAGACAGGAGAATTTCAAGTTCAAAGCCAGCCTCAGCAATGGCAAGGTGCTAAGCAACTCAGTGAGACCCTAAATAAAATGCAAAATAAATGTCTCTAAATAAAATACAAAATAGGGCTGGGGATATGGCTCAGTTGATTACTGCCCCTGAGTTCAATCCTTGGTACCAAAGATAAATAAATAAAACAAAACTTGAATAAACTTTTTAAAAATGGGTTATATTAAATATTCAAATATACATCTATGGACTATTTGTATTTTTATATATCATAGTGCATAGAATTTATGCACTATTTATAAATTCTATGACATTTAAACCTACCGTGTGATGATACTGACTTTACAGGTTTACCCAAAGGATGGCAGTAATGGATATGAAACCAATAAATTATGTCTTATTTAGGACATTATGCATAATAATTTGTGTCTAGGATTTCAGTTATCTCTTGGGTCCATGAATTTTCAACACTTGACCAGGAACTACTCTTTTCCATGTTAGATTGACTATATATTCACTCCAAATAATAAAAGGAGAGAGTCTAACAAGAAACACATAAAGCACATTGAATAACATAAATTTTTTTAGTCTAACTTTATGATATACTGGTAAACCAAGCTGGATTTCACTGAAAATATGTATGTGTAAATGAAAATAATTATTCTATAGTCAACATAAGTCAAATATCACATTTTCTTTTCCCACAGGGGGCAGATAAGAAAGCCAAGTGGTGATAATAAGGAATTCAGAGATTATTTACTTATTTTACTGTTTTATTTAAGTCTATATTCAGTATTTGTTATTCAAGTTTCGCATTCATTAGATCATGTAGACTTGAGTGCAATGAGATTGAATATGTTATTGCTGTGTTAATTTTTCTTTAAATTTCTTCCCTATGGAAAAAATGATAACTCAGATATAAAGAAAATTTAGGGCTTAATTCATGTGATAACATTAATAGATCGTTTTACTTTTTACATTTTATATCACAATAAGTGTGAATTTAGAAAAACATAATTTTTTTATACTTGCTGTTGATGTTTGTTTTAGGTGATAATTCAGGATGATGGCCCTGAAAAACTGGATCCCAAATATTTTGGAGAGTTGCTTGCTGACCTAAGCCGTAAGAATACAGATCTGTATCATTGCTTATTAGAACATTTGCAGAGAATTGGAGGAAGGTAATGTAAACATATTTTTTGCTTTGACATTGTAGCTATCAAATATTTTACTAAATTATTGTATTTTAATAGACTTTTTAAAAAAGAGCAGTTTTATGTTCATGGCAGGACTTTCATACTCTTAATGTGTAAATTGGCAACTGTTAGTAAAGCCGAGTAGATGATGTCTCGTTTTAAAAAAAATAATACAGATTATGAAAATCATCAAAAATAACACTAATCCTTTTAAGATTAGCAAAATATTTTGTGTGCTTTTTTGTAGTATACTTTGACAGCAAAAGCAAATTCTTGGGGAAAAAATTTAAAAATGTAAATGATATGTTGGAAAAAAAGATAAAAAGTGCTGGAGAAAAGGAAACATTTATACACTGGATAGTGGGAATGCAAATTAGTACAACTAAGGTGGAAAATACCATGAAAATTCTTTCAGAATTTGAAAACATAATTTATATATGATCCAACAATCCCACTCACAGGTATATGTCCAAAGAAAATGAATTTGGTATGTTGAAGAAACATCTGCATTCCCATGTTCATTGTAGCACTACTCAAAATAGTCAAGAAATAGAAGCAACATAGGTCTCTATCAACTGATGAATAGTTATATGATTTAGCTATATAAAAGAACTGAATACTATCATTTTTGATGACATGGATAGAAGTGGAGATCATTAAGTTAAATAAGCTAAGAATGGAAACGCAAGTACTATATGGTCTCACTCATATGCAGAAACTAAATATGTTGATCTCATAATGTTATGGGCCAGGCTATATGGACAATGACCAAACAGACTCCATTTTACCCTGAGACTCCATTTCATATAAGAAATACTTCTCACAATAGAAGTGGAAATTATAATAGGGGTTACCAGAGTTGAGGACAGTAGTGATGTGGGATGGGGAAAGATTGATCATTGGGTACTAAGTAAGAGATGAATGGAAACAAGAAGTTCTGCTGTGCTGTTTCACATAAGGGTGACTATTAGATAATGATAATGTAGTGTACTTTTCAAAAAACTAGAAAAATTATTTTAATTTTTTGTTCACCATAAAGAAATGGTAAATGTTTGATAAGATAGGTAAGTTTTGGGCTGGGGTGGTGGCTCATTGGTAGAGCACTTTCATAGCATGTGTGAGGCACTAGGTTCAATTCTCAGCATCACATAAAATAAGGATCCATTGACAACTAAAAAGAAGAAAAGGTGCATAAGTTTAACCTGATTTAAATGTTAGGAAATGTATACATGTATTGAAACATTATGTGGAACCCCATAAATATTTATAATTTTAAATGTTAACATAAAATGAATGTTATTCTATGACTTGTTTTAAGATATTACATGTATGAAACAAGATATAGTCCCACTGCCAACACACCACTGTTTATCTTCTATGATGTGTGCTGAATAAATGGAGGCCAGTGCTCAATGTATATTTAATACATTATATAGTATATATAAATGATATACATTATACTAATTTTCTACATTTTATCTATATTACATATGAATGTGAATTATAAATACCTATTTATAAATACATATAAAGTATTATACATCATGATACATAATTGCATATATTTAAAACATGTATTCATAGTTTATCAACTATTCATGTATAAATGAGAGCATATTGTCATAAAATGAATTCTATAGATAGTACCTCCAAAGTTGCCTATTATTTTTTAATCACAGCATGTATGTGACTGAATGTCAGGCAAAATCTATAAAAGCTCCTTAAATTCAGAATAATCCAGAAGATAAGAAAAAAGCAATAGGATTTTTTTCAATTCAGACTTTTTATTACCTAGATCCTTCTACTTCTTAGACATGATTTTTACAATATATAATTGTACACAATATATGAAATCAACACATATGACACCATATATGCCATTTTGTATACATTCTTACTAACAAATACATATTAATATTTATTTGTACATGTCAAAAATATTTTTCTTCCTGCTATATAGTCTCTTTTAATCTTTTTTTCCATATCTTTTCTATTTTTTGCCTCCCTTCTTCCTAATCTATCATGAATAGTGACTATAACCTTACCATTATCTTCATCTTTTCCTTCTTATTTAGGTGGCCTTCCTACTTAGAAAAATTGTAACTCTGGATCCATTTTACTCTGCCTTATATGTTGTTTCGTTTTACCACTCCCTTCATCAGCCCACACCCAACATTCACTATCCCTAAAATTCAGAGAGCCTGATGAGAACAGTTTTATTTACCTCATTGTCCTTGTTGTTTAGCATAGTAATTGGTTTAATGTTGTTTTAGTTAGCATTTTCACTGCTGTTGCCAAAAGAACTGACAAGTACAATTTTAGAGGAGGAAAATTTTATTTGGGACTCCTAGTTTCAGAGATCTCAGTTCATAGACAATTGACTCCTTTGCTTCATTTTAAGCAGAACATCATGGAGGAAAGTTGGGGAGGAGGGAAAGTAGTTCAGGACAAAGCCATCAGGAAACAGAGAGCATCACTCATCCAGGACAAAGTATACACCCTAAAGGCATATTCCTAATGACCTACCTCCTCCATCTACTCCCCACCTGCCTACAATTCTTGTGTTGACTTATTCATAACCTTTTAGGAATACCTCATATCTAAACCTTAACTTGTGGTGCTCAGTAAATGATTTATTTAATGGATGAATGCATTCTTTACTGTCATACTATATAGTTGATCACTCTTAGTGAAAAAAACAGCTATTTGTTTGAACTGGTTCCATTATAAATGAATTATTTCATCTTTAGCTACATCATCATTTTATCATGATTAATACCTTCTCCCATTGCCTGAACAATTATCCCTTTATCCTATTATGCAAACAACTATTTCATAAATTCATCACTTCACACAAGTTCACTACCTTAAAAATCTTCCCCAAGTTTCTATAATCAATTATTTTATTGAGTGTCCATTATGTCTGGGGCATTGTACAAAGTGCTTTATTTATATTATTGAACCCAATAAAATTTCAGATGGAAACCCAAAGACAGTAAGTTTTTAACCAAGGTCATGCAGCTACTAAGGGCCTGAGATAGATTCAATAATTTTTGAGTAATCTTTCACCTATAAATTATGACTTAGCTTTTCTGATAACCCTTCCTTAGATCCTAATTTGGATCTAAGTGATCCTCTTGGAAAGAGAAGTAAATTGAATACAGGAGGAGGGACACAAGGAGAAGGTGGAAACAAAGAGTAGATTAGGGAGACAGAAATGTCATTATGAATTATATCTCCTTCTGCACTGAGGAATAGTAGCTGGAATTATACTAGGTTGAAAAAGAAACAAAGTAGCACTCACTATATGCTATCTTACCTTCTGGAAAGAAGGAATTTAATGAAAAAGAAACAAAAGTTGGGAGGAACAAAAGATTGAAGAGGAGGAGGAATGAAGGCAAAGAAACTGATAACCTCTGACAAGCAGAAACTCTTGGGTACCAAAATTTTACAAGACCTTATTTATCTTGGAGTGTTTACTAATTATGAAATAATCTAACTCCCCTTACTTAATTACTTTTTGTACTTATAAATAGTATGAGGCAATAAAGTTGGAATATAGTTAACTAGAAAAAAACTTAATTGAATAAACTGAGACATAGAGATTAGACAAATTACTGGATATTAAATATCTGGTATGTAATAAAAGCTGAAATATGAACCTAGGATATGAACTGTGGATCTAGAATTAGGGTACTTAAGCTGAGAGTGGTGGCATGTACCTGTATCCTAGTGACACAGGAGGCCAAGGCAGGAGGATCACAATTTGAATGCCAGCCTCACCAATTTAGCAAGGACCTAAGGAACTAAGCAAGACTCTGTCTTTAAAATAAAAACATTTTAAAAAAGAGTTGCAATGAGAAATTATACTCCATTATATATGATGTTTTAAAGTGCATTCCACTATTATGTATAACTAATTAACCCAAATTTAACTCACCTTCTCCTTGTGTCCCTCCTCCTTCTGTTTCCAGTTTTTTTCTCTTTCCAAAATAGAGTTCAGCAATGAGTGGGCTGCAAGTTCAGAATTAAGGAAGGTTGTCTCAAGGACACTTTCTAATTACTTTCTAAATTTCCAATATTAAATACTCTGTATTGATCCTTGTTTTGTTCATTGGTTTTGTTTTCTTATTTATAGAAGTGAGTGACTAGGAACATGAATACTAAATTGTCATTGGAATAGAAAGAAAGAAGAATTATTATTTTTAAATTCATATTATCATAATTCCCATTAACATTAATTCAAGACTCCTGAAACTGAATTGTGATTCATGATTTTAACTTGCTTTAGCTTCAAATATATACATGCAGTTAGTATAATGAAACAACTCAAAAATAGATGTTTTTTTTTTTTTTTGGCTAGGTCCTCCCCACAATTTCTATTTTGGACAACACAGGAAATACCATATACATACATGCAGATAATTGCACATATATTGTCATACCTTGGGAAATGGAACCTTTAGATCTTTTTCTCTGTACTAGCTTGTATATTTTTGTAAATGTATGTAAGAGATTTTACAGAGCGAGAAACCTACTTATCTCTGTAAGCAGTATGTTACAAATAAGCAATTACATAAAAGGTAAATACAGGTATTAATATAATAAAATTGTATTTAATAAATTCTGTCTTCATGTCAGAACATATATACTGTTTTTTGTTGTTGTCATTGCTGTTCCTTTATTTGAGAAGTATATTCACCATATGTATATTTGCCAAATTCTTCCACCAAGTGCAGAGATAGCAAGTACATAAAAATAAAAGTCTATCTGTTGCCCCTGACAACACTAGAACTGTATCATTTCCAGTTTTCACCATTCCCGAAGGAGCTAGTACCAGTCTAGTATAACTACTAACAATTCTCCTGAAGCATTTGCCTAGTTAACGGTGCCCTACTAAGGGTTTTTCAAATCCATTGGCCAAAGTCTCATTTTGATGCTAGAAATTCTATCATCCCACCAAAATTTTGATCACTTTGTTGAAGGTTTTAAAGATTCAAATACTTTCAAGCTCATTACTGTTGTATAAAATACATATAAAATGAATGAGTTAGTATTGTCTTTCAAATTTTAATTTTGATATAAAGGATATGAGGAACTTAAACACTGCAGAGAGAAGCTCGTATCATCACTGATCAGGAGCAATAAAAGAAGAGGGAGGTGGAGGTAGAGAGAAAAAACCTATTATGGTTATTTTATTCACTGAGATAGCATTTATTGGCAAGCACTGAAGACTTCTACATTTAGTATCAAATGGACTAGTGTTAACGGATAGAGTACTAACCAATTCTGTAAATTTTATTTATTTATTTTTTTGATATTCTGATGTTGATGCTTTTAATAGATTAGCTAATTGAAGGGAAATTATTAGCTAAACTAAAAATGCCATTTTAGATAGTTTCAAATTTTTCATTTGGGTTATAAATTGAATCAGTACTATTAAAATATATTAAAAATAAACTAATGAAATAGTAGCATTTATGCATTATCTATCAGTGAATGCATTTTCTAAAGATTCTCTTTTGTGTATTATTCTTGCAGCAAACAGGACTTTGAGTCAACAGATAAAGTAAGTACAAAAATAGATAAAAAGAAAACATCGTAGATAACAAAGTAGGCTTCAATATTTGCACTAATATTCTTTTAGTTTGGAACTTTAATTAGACTGAAAACACAAGTGTTGAAAGAAATAATTATTTTTCCTTTCAAATGATGTAGCCATTTATACCTTTGTAATGGCTATAAAAATAGTCATAATTCACAAAAAAAGTTCTGTCAGTGGTCACGTTAGGGTTTTTCTTTGCTTATCAGAACATTTAAAATTACTTTGACCCTATACTGTCTCCTTTAGAAAAGTGAAATCTACAAAATTAAATATATAGCAAATTTAATTTCAATATATTTGAAAACCTTGTATGTGCCAGCAACACAAAGTAAAAATTATTTGAGTATTAATTCTATTACATATGCAATTTTGTTAATAATTTCTTGTAATGGAATAAATAATCAAATAAGAGAAAGAACTGATTTCAGTGCAATAAAAAGCCCAATCACTTCTTTTGTGTTATTTTTTTTATTTTCAATGCATTGGCATACTGAATTCATTACAATAATTCAGTAAATCCTAAATTGCCTTTAAAAAGGCACTTCAGCTTCTCACTTAAAATTAGTTGAAGCTTCCCACTGTTGCTGTGGTAACACCTTAATCTCTCAAAAGTCACTGTAGCTCTGTGTAACTTCTCAATAAACCCTGAAATACCTTTAGTTTTATTTTCCAAAGTTTCATTATTTAAAAATTCAGCTTTGAGTCTAGGATTGTGAATCAGTGGTGGAGCACTTACCTTGCAAGTATGAGGCACTGGGTTTGATCCTCAGCACCACATAAAAATAAATAAATGAAATAAAAGTATTGTGTCCATCTACAACTACAAAAATATTTTTTAAAAATTCAGTTTCTAAAATGTTATATCACCCTACAAAACTTATATTTGTAGAAAGCTATACTAAATAACATGTTTAATGGAATTTAACAGACCATTTTGGTTTTTAAAGTTATTTATTCTAATGTGTTATACATGATGGCAGAATGCAATTCATTTCATAATACATATATAGAGCACAATTCTTCAAGTCACTGTACACCAAGTATTTTCACACCATTCATGTCTTCATACATGTACTTAGACCATTTTGTTTTTAAATTTTTTTTCTCAGTTGTGAGAATTGAACCCAGGGCCTTGTTTTCCCTATGCAAGCACTCTACCATTGAGCTCCATCCCCATCCTTAAATTACTTTTTAAAATAGAAATTAAATGTTTTATTGGTTGACCAAAGCTTTTTGGTAAAAATGCCTAGAAATCAGGGTTCTTTCCATGCCTAAGTTATATAATTGATTTTTTAAAGTAAGAATTGATAAGAACAAAAATGCAATTTATGGAAACTATTTATCAAAAAGTGAATTTACTTTTTAATGTCCCTAAAAATGTACCTTACTACACAAAAGTCTGTGTACTACTGACCCTAAGATTAAAAAACTACTGTGGTCAATGTATAAATCTCTCTTTTCTTACAGTCAGAAGACATTGAATCATTGATTCCTAAAGGATTGTCAGAGTTTACAAAACAGCAAATTCGCTATATTCTGCAGGTGAGATGTGTTCAGGGTGGGAGTTTGAGATAGGCACTAATAAACTACATACACCTTAGGATGCCTCCCTTAATTAAGAAAAGAAAATCCCAAATAAAACCATATTCCACAGGAGTTAATTATTTTTTAGATATGGGTATAAAAAAGAAAAAGCATAAAAGATAAAAGTATTTAATTAGGGTTGCATGATAGTTCAGTCAGACCATCAGAAACTATTATTGAAAGATGAACATTTAGGTAATCATTCCAGAAATAATATTTTCTGCTACGGAATGCCTTTAATCACTCTTTAGTGTTTTAGTACAAATCTGACTTACACTGTGTATTTGCCTTCCTTTTCTCAATTCCATCGTCTTCCCAACTACAGATACTGAGAGGCTGAAAGGCCAGTGCCTTGCTTTTCTTGAGTTGTGGAATACTAGAGAAACCGATCAATAAATTTCCCTATAATTAAATGAGGGACCACAGATCAAGATATGTGCTAAGAAAACTGTAGAAAACTTTGCTTCCTTTATGTTTCTTTCTTTTTCACATTTATAAAATTATTGTCTGAAATAGTCCCTCTCTATATACATCAAAAATTTATTGTTATAATTTTTGTTTCAACTACCAAACATAATTTAGAAAACTGATCAAATGGAAAGCATGTTCTATTTATATTTATTTTACTTTTCAAGGTTTTTCCCCTTATTAACGGTCAAAATCCCTTGTTTATTATTTTCTTCTCTTTACAAAAATTCCTTTAGCTTTTTTTTTTTCAGGGTAGGTTGCCTACTGACAAATTATTTTCATTTTTTTCCATTTGAAAATTCTGTGATTTTTCTATTCATCTCTAAAGTGAAATAATTTCATTGGATACAGAATTTGCAGCTAACAGTTCTGTAATTTTAGCATTTACAAATATAGTGTGCCAATTCCTACTGGCCTCTATGGTTTCTGATGAAAAGTCTACTGTTATTTTAGTTAATTTTCCTAATAGTTAAGGCTTTTTTTTTTGTGCAGCTTTCAAACTATTTGTCTTAAGTTTTAAGAAGTTTGATTGGTCTTGGCAGGGATTTCTTTGGTTTTATTCTGTTTGGGATTTGTTTAGGTTCTGGAATATATATATATATATATATATATATATATATACACATATACACATATACACATATATACATATATATATGTATGTATGTTAATTGGTTTTGCTAATTTAGGGGAAATTAGGTATTATTTGAAGATTTGTTCAGCTCTATGCTTTTTCTTCTTTCATTGCGGACACTAGTAACATGAATAGTAGGTATGTATTATACTCCCCCAGTTTCTTAGGCTCTATTCAGTTACTTTTCTGTTCTATTTTCTCTCTGCTACTTGGTTTATATAGTTTCTTTTATCTTTTAATTTACCCATTATTTTCTCTGTCCTCCACATTCTACTTCTTATTTCATCCATTGAGGGGTTTTTTTGTTTTGTTTTGTTTTTGCTTGTTTTGATTGCTTATTGAACTTTTCAGTTCTAAAATTTTCCTTTTTTATCTTTTTTTTTTGTAGTTGGGATTGAATCCAGGGGCACATAACCCTTGAGACATAGCCCCAGTCCATTTTTTTAATTTTTTATTTTGAAGCAGCCTCTCACTAAGTTGTGTAGGGTCTTGCTAAGTTGCTAAGGCTGGCTTTAAAATTGTCATCCTCCTGTCTCAGTCTCCAAAAATGCTGAGATTACAGATATGCCCTACTATTCCCAGATCCTTTATCATTCTTTATATTTTTTTATTTCTTTATTGAGACTTTCTAGTTTGTTGTTGAGACATGGTTTCATTTGTTTGCTTCAGTCTGTTTGTAGTTTTCTGCTGAAGCATTTTAGAATGCTTGCCTAAAAACCTTGTCAGGCATTTCTAACATTTCAGTTCTCGTGATGTAGGCATAGATTGTTTATCTTATTGAATTGAGATATTCCTTGTTCTTGAAATGGTAAGAGATTTTCAGTTGAAATCTGTCCATTTTTGGTACCATGACACTGGATATTACTCAAATATTCTGTTCTATTAGAATATCTCTGATGCTGAAACACCAGAGGAAGTGAAGGCACTGTCAAAGCCAGCTGGAAAAGGAAGATGTCTAGGATTCTCTACTCATCCTTTCATGATATGAAAGGATGAAAGCCTAAGCTCCCTTCATGATATCAACTGATACAACAGTGCTTGGAATTTCATTTTTCCCCATCTAAGATGAAAGACTCATCTCTCTATCCTACCTTTATTGATACCAACCTGATGAGTTATGTTGGTATGCCTCTTTAGAGCCTGATGATGGAGGAAGTCCAGGTTTCACTCTCAGCTTTTCTTGTTTGGGTGAGGGTAGTGTTAAAATTTTTTCCTGTTGTATTTTGCTGCAGTCAAGGGTTATCAACTTAAAGTTTCTGTCTTCCTAGCCCTCCTGTCCTTTCATGAACCTTTGGCTATTGCAAAAAGGCTTTTATTAGGACATTTGTTCCCCATATCCATTGGTATATTTGGATTACCTGTTTTACAAACACCAGTCTATGACATATAAAACAAAATAAAATCCAAGAATTCAATGTGTCATCCCTCAGTTACAAATGTACTAACCATTCTTTTCACCTCTCTGAGCTTTTAAATATTTGTTATATATATAATATCTAGGGTTTCTAGTGTACTTAGTAAGAGGACTAGGGAAAGGTATTTCTCCTTTTTCTTTCCAGATAAAGGAGAATTTGCTATTTTTTAAAAAAATGTATTTTCTTTAAATAAATAAAAATAATTTAGTGAAAGGCTTTTTTTTCTTCTTCTTCTTTATAATTAAAGATGATCCTGCACTTCGAATTCAAACTTAATTATTATTAAATTCTTCTTAATTTAGGAAAAATATATGCTCTTGGAATCACACATAGGAAATTTAATTTCATTACTTGAAGGTTGATTCCCTTATGTTTTCTAATATTTTAAAAAAGAAAGAAAAATTGATAGAATTCTACCTTGTGAGAAAGGTGATACTTTGTGATATACGACATAAAAAAAAAAAAAAAAACCCTTGTTCACAATACCTGGCTATGATCTTTTAAGGAATACTGCTGGGACTGCTTAAGCACATTATTGAAAAAAAATATATCTTGTATCACTATTCTAATACAGTCATGTCCAAAATAAAATTATAAATAAGTTTACTGGTAGGAACAGAAAAATAAGATTACTTTCACTTATATTGCCTATTTTTGAATGTTAATAAAAATCAACCATGAATTATTTTCTTCCTCCAGATGAGGGGTATGTCTGATAAGTCACTCAGGCTAGTGCTGTCCACATTCAGCAATATACGTGAGGAGCTTGGACATCTTCAAAATGACTTGACTGTAAGAATTATGTTTAATTTTCTTTCCTAAGCCACTTCTAATTCTTCACTTCCTACCATAGAAATGAAGACATTCAGTACACTTTTTTAAAATTCAGTACAACACAGCAATATTATGCTTACCCAGACATAGCTAAGGTTTTCTCAAAATAGTTTTAGAAAAGGAAAAAAGGGTATAACATGTAATGTCTAGTTTGAAAGAATGTTGAATATGCATTTATTATTTAGTTTACTACTAAGGGTAATTTAATGGTGAAAACTAGGGAGTAGCCCACAGTATTAGAATAATCTGACTCATTTAATAGGAATTTCTCCGTTTCTTAATAATAAAGCATACTCTGATTTTCTCTTCAAACAAAACAGTTTAAAAACTTGTTTCTCTAAGAATTTAACCTGTTTTATTTTCTATTTTAATCTGTGTTCTTGGTGCCATCAACTAGATACATTCAGAATGCTTTCCTTACAATGAATAACTCCTTGAAGACTTTGAAGTGGTTTTTCTTTTGTTTCTTCATTCTAATGAATGTAGTTAGTCTCTAATTTGAAAATTCACCACCTGCTAGGATTAACAAGGAGTCTTTGCAGTTTGGATAAAAACATTAGAATAACTCAGAAGGTTCTGCTTCATTGCACTTAGAGTTAGTCCATCAAAATATCCTTTTCAATATGGGTTTTGAATGTTTCAATCTTGTTTATACCACACTTTGCTTAACTTTTAATAATTCTGCTTTATTAAGCAACTACAAATGAAACAAGAGATTATTTAAAACTTGTAATGTAGACAAGTCTTTGTATTATGTGGTTGTTGACAAGCTTATGTTATTCTGAATCATAATAAATAATTTATGGTTCTAGTCACTGGAAAATGACAAGATAAGACTTGAGAAGGATGTGGCATTCAAAGAAACTCAAATAAAAGAGTATGAAGAACTCTTGGCATCAGTGAGAGCAAATAATCGTCAGCAGCAAGTAAGTTTATATTTTTGTTGGTGATAAACTAGATTGATAGTTTTTTATATGTACAAGACTAGTACATTAGAATTATGAGATACAATTCAGACATAATTAGTATATGATGAAACAATTTTTATATGAGAATTGAGTGGTTTTAGAAAAAACAACCTTATATATTTTAGGCATACAATATATACAGTACAAAATTATCTGTATTTTTGAGTGACAAGAATTATATGAATACTAAAAATCTAGGTTCACTCACTCATTTAATCTACTAATGTGTTAATGTGAAAAAAAGCTTTCATAGATCTTACCTTGTATTTGTGCAATGAATAATAAGAGAATGAATGAACTGTAGAAGATTTCTCCTGATATCTGAGTAAAGATAATTTCTAAGAGACCATTTTGAGTCTCTAAGGCTTACTCCTTCCTAATCACCCTCATGGCTGTTCTAAATTCTTGCTCAGTTGGTAGTTGTCACATAAATAATTAGGTACATCATCATTTTGATGCTTACTAGAAGGCAAGATAAAATATTATCAAAGAGTACCAAAAATCTTATTACTGACTTGGGATACCAAAAATTCATGTAGCCTTGACTCATTTTCACTAAAAATAGGTAATTGAGAACAGGAGCAAGACTAATATCTTACATGGCTGATTTAATATATCATCTAAGAGAAAGAATATAATAAAATGAGGATAGGAAATATTTGCTTGATTTGATGGAATGAACTGATTAAAAGAATATTTCACTGCAAATAGATTTATCTTATGTACTTGTATCTTCCTTATAGCAGGGACTTCAAGACTCAAGCTCAAAATGTCAGGCATTGGAAGAAAATAATCTTTCTCTTCGACATACATTATCAGACATGGAATACAGAGTAAAAGAACTGGAATATTGTAAACGTAATTTGGAGCAAGAGAATAAAAACCTTAGAATGCAGGTATTAATTTTTTATTTTAAAGTTGGAACATTGCCTTAGTTATATCAGTGTAATTCTAGCATTGGCAATAGTAAAATTTATCTTGTCCTTCCTTCCTTCCTTCCTTCCTTCCTTCCTTCCTTCCTTCCTTCCTTCCTTCCTTCCTTCCTTCCTTCCTTCCTTCTGTTATGAGGAGCCACTTCAGAAAACATTCTAAGTCCAAATTCAAATCAAAGAGAGCTTTATTTACGTGGCCAGGGACTGTTACCCAGCCATAGAGACTGAAGCCCCGTGGGAGAACAGCCATTTCCTAGCCCTTGTCTTGGGAATTTAAGGCAGAAAACCACAGCTCAGGGACTTTCCTTAGTGTCATTCAAGCAAGCCAATCATAGAAGCTAAGACAGCAATTAGCACAGCAATTTAACAATCCTGTCTTGGGTTTGAGCATTTGTTACACAACCATATCCTGAGTTCGAGCAGGTGGTTAGCAAGGGTGAGAATCTACTTCAAAGTCTTGGGTCACCAAGACCACCATATCCTGGGTTGAGTACATTTTGTGGGATACAAAGTACAGAAATCAATATATTATAAGAAAACAGTTTTCATTTCATTTTCTTAGAAACAGTTCTGGTAACAGATTTTCTATAGAAGGCAGCAAAATGGAGTCTTAGGACTATCTATGACAGTTCTTGCTTTATAATCATCTTATCTCACTTATCAAAATCTTAAATCTATTATCTATATTTGTTGCTAACCTATAACTTACACTCTTATTGATTTTGTTTTTCAGTTCACACCACAACACATCCTTCCTTCCTTCCTTCCTGTTCATCTTGAGAAAGTGTGTAGATTGCTTTCTGATAACCATAGTTCTTATCAAAGTGATATTTGAGCTTTCTAAAACAGTTTCTGAAAACCACTATCATTATTTGTATGTCATATTTAATCATATGGTTTCATGTAATAGTAATCTTTAAAACATAATATGTATTTCCTTCACAACAATCCAATTATGAAAAGTTATTTCATCTTGTGTAGGTTTCTGAGACTTGCACAGGCCCGATGCTGCAGGCTAAAATGGATGAGATTGGCAACCATTACATGGAGATGGTTAAAAACTTGCGAGTAGAGAAAGACAGAGAGATCTGCAAGCTAAGGGTATGTTAATCCTATATTTCGTAATACACAGGTCAACATGTATTTTCTATCACAATGATAGTTTCAAGTTTAAGGTCACAAGGAAAAATCAACTGAAGGTAAAGTTTTATGAATATGTCATAGAACCTTTTAAGTTTACATCATCATGCATAAAATATCATTGTTTAATTGTTTTCTAATTCTGCTTCATCTCTTCTAGCATAGTAAAGGAAAATATTAATTTCATTATGTTGGGTATTTGTTAATGTGTTTTTGGGGAATAGGTGCAGCACTCTATGATCTGCTTATGCAGGCAAGAGAAATATTCAAGACTATCTAGCAAAGCCATAACTGAATTTATACAATCATCCCTGAACACTGAGAGATGATAAATATCAAAGACTTTGTCCAGCACAATGATAAAAATGATATTAAGTTTTATTTGCCTATAATTATAATAAAATTAGAGTATTTGAAATAAATGTATAGTGACTTACCTTTTAATTCTAGGTTGAATTGACTTAATATATCCCATAATATATTGATTCCTAAATATTCTCAAATATACTTAAATTTCTTAATGAAAAAAATGATGAAAGATTTTTCTTTTCAAATATCACTTATGATCTTTACCAAAAATCAAAATGAAACAAAACATAATTTTCTAAAAAGTATACTGATAACCAGATTTCCTCCACTGGTTTTCTCCTTGTCTTCTCAACATTACTAACTTTAACCAAACAGTCACCTATGTACACATAAGTGATAAAGTGGAAAATGAACCAGGGCAGTGATGCATGCCTGTAACTTCAATCATCTTGGGAGGCTAAGGCAGGAGGATCATGAGTTCAAAGCCAGCCTCAGCAACTTAGCAAGGGACAAAGCAACTCAGCAAGACCCTGTCTCTAAATAAAGATATAAAAATATGAGCTTGGGTTGTGGCTCAGCGGTTAAGTGCCCCTGGGTTAAATCCCTAGTACCAAAAGAAAAAAAAAAAGAAAAGGAAAGAAAAAAAGAAAAATTCCTTTCATTTTTTTATATTCACAAATTTCTATGGAAGTTTGTAATTATTAGTATTTTCATTCATGACTAGCTGTGTGACTGTGTAACTAAAACTATTCTGGAGCTCAGTGATACACTTTATAAATAAGGGCTATAATAATATTTACTTCTTTCTATATCTTTAGTCCCAGTTAAACCAGTACCAAAAGGATGTTTCAAGAAGAGAAGGAAGTTGTAGTGACTTCCAATTCAAGCTTCACGAACTCACCAGCTTGCTGGAAGAGAAGGATTCCCTTATAAAACGTCAGTCAGAGGTAAAGAAAGAAAGGGATAGGAAAGTAGAAGAATAATAATATAACTCAGTCCAAAAGGATAAACACTTCCCAGGTATTAGAAAAGGATACATTACCAAGACATGCTTTATTATGTGGAAATGCATGGGAAAAAGCAGAGTTATATTTCAGGAGATATAATTCAGATGAAAGAACTGAAGCAAAAAAAAAGTGCTTGGTATTGTACATTGGACATTTTTAAGACACTGATTTTATGTTTCATTAGCAGTGAAACTCCCTCAAAGACTGTGAGCCTCTTACTAAATTATGGGCTACTTCATCAAGTGACTGTGTTATATTCCTCCCTGTATCTTCAGTATGTAGCTCAGGATCTGGCATACCATAGGTACAAAGGGAACAACCAAAATTGTGGCTAATATCATATTGTGGTTATTGAACAATGGTGTTTATAGTAACATTCACTATTAGGAACCTATATGTGTTTCCATACTGAAGTATCAATACTTTTATGCTTTGGCTATATTTTTCAGGCTTTTTAAGACAAAAACGTTCACATCCTTATTATAAGAACTATGCCCATTTAATTTCAAGTTTTCCACAAAATATAGATATCCTACCTCCATTAGTGGATTCCTACAGAAGTATATAACTTTTTGAATACCATTAAGCAATATTATATGATAATCAACAAATGAGATTAGAACATTTTTGCCTTGAGGTTAAAAAGGAAAGGGGTGGTAATTATCCTAGTAAACTTGTTTAATGATCAAGCATACATCTTACTCATGTTTCTACTTTTTAAAAAAGGATTATGTTGTTTTTCATTTTTAAGGAACTATCAAAGTTGAGACAAGAAATATATTCATCACATACTCAACCCTCCAGTTCTGGAAGGACTACCATTACTACTAAAAAGTAATATATTTTTGTATGAAGTTTTAATATGACTGGTAATTATACATTTCAAGTTATTGTCCTAGTTATTATATATTACAAGTTATTCGAATTGAGCACTAGACAAAGTTTGGTGTTTTTACTAGCTAATAATTCTATTGAAGGATTAATATTTACAAGACATTGTTATTGTCTTCAGTCCTGTAACACACCTTTTTAATATTCATAATGTTACAAAACATGTAAATAAATAAAAATAATTGGTTGGTTGACCAACTGTATGAGTGAGAACTCTTAGTTGTATGTTACAGAGATTCAACTTAGAGTGTTTAAACCATCTATACTTAATATGATTATCTGTAATGCTGGATTTAAATTTACTGTCTTACTATTTGTTTTTGATTTTGTTTCATTGTTTTATTTATTCCCCTTTTGCTCTTTTCCTTTCTTCTTTTGGATAAATTACTTCTTTACATAATTATGTTTTAATTTTGGCCTATATGTTTTCTTTTACATATATTAAAATCCCTGCATAGATTATTTTTAAGTCAATTATCTTTTTTCAAAAATATTCTTTTACTTATCAACAGACCTTCATTTTATTTATTTATATGCAGTGCTGAGAATTGAACCTAGTGCTTCACACATGCTAGACAAGTGCTCTATCACGAAGCCACAACCCCAGCCCCTAGCCAATTATCTTTTAAAGACATATTAAGAGTAAAAAGCAGTGTTTTAAGTTTGCCTGCATATTTATCTTTTCTGGAGCTCTTAATTCCTTTGCTTAGATCCAAATTTCTGTGATTTCCCCTTTGTCTGAATGAATACATTCCTTAAATCTTTATTATGCTGCTCTTTTGGTGAAGACTTCTTTTGACTTTTTAAATCTGAAATAGTCTTTTCTTACCCCCATTATCCAGAGATACAGTAATAGTTCCTTATCTGAGAGGGACATGTTTCAAGACTGTCAGTGGATACTTGAAACATGGTATAGTACTGAACCCTATATATACTAATGCTTTTTTCCTATTTGTTTTTATCATAAATCTTGGCAACAACATCATAGTTGTTTTTTTTTTCTTATGGAGAGCTTTTACCTTTTCCCTTGAAGGGAATATGTTATATCTTCTCTTGGATATATATGCATTGCCACCATCACTAGTCTTGTGCATGGGGGACATTATTATTAAGTAAGATGATTACAAGAATGCAAGCACTAGTTTTTAGGATGATTGATCTGATAATCGAGAAAGCTACTAATTCATTAGAAGCTATAGACATATTCATCATAGATATATTGAAAAATATGGATGATTTGCATCCCAAGTGGAATAGGACAGCATAAAATATTTCATTATCCTAATCAGAACAGTGCAGAATTTGAAATTTAAAAAGTATTTATTTCTAGTATTTTCCATTTAATAATTTGGACTGAGAATAACTGAAACTATAAGGGAGGACTACTATGTTTTTATAGGGTATAAAATAGTAAGCTGATAGGTTTTTTTAAATGAAGTACATAAAATATGTCACTCCCTTGTATTCTGACTCTCATTGTCACTGATGAGAAGTTTGATGTTAAAATTATGATTTTTTTCCTCTGGGTAGTGTTCTTTATTCTCTGGCTGTTTTAAGATTCTTTATCACTGGCTTTTATAAATTCAAAAATGTGCCTCTCTGTGTTTTTTTTCATATTTCTTTTTCTTGAGGTTTAAGCAACTTCTTAGATCTGTAATTTCATTTTTCATCAAACTTGGAAATAATTTGGTTGTGATTTATTCAATTACTTCTTATCTTCTGCCATTCTGCATAACTTTAATGCACACAAACACACACAATGGCAATGATCATTTTCTACATGTTGTATACATCAGTCTTTTTCCATCATGTATTATTCTAGACAATTTATCTATGCCTTCAAATTTACTAGTCTTTTCTTACATAGTGTCCACTCTGCTGTTAATCCTATTCAATGTATTTTTCATCTTTACAACTCCAATATGATCTTTTTACTACTATTACTTATTACTTTCCTCATTACTTTCCTCATTGTGTTCATGAATTCCTCTAACTTCTTGAATATATTTTGTGAATTTCTAATAGATGCATCTTTCCTACTCATTTTTAGTCAGTATTTTTTCTTGGCTTGTTTCTACTGATTTATTTTTCTCTTCATTATTAGTCATATCGTCCTGTTTCATTGTATGACAACTGATTTTTTGGGGGGTAGCAGGGATTGAACTCAGGGGCACTTGACCACTGAGCCACACCTGCAACCCTATTTTGTATTTTATTTACAGACAGGGTCTCATTGAGTTGCTTAGTGCCTTGCTTTTGTTGAGGCTGGCATTGAACTCACAATCCTCCTACCTCAGCCTCCTGAGCCGCTGGGATTACAGGCATGAACCCCCGCACCTGGCTGACTGCTGATTTTTTATGGGATGCCATATATTAAGGTTTTATGTTGTTGTATTCTAGATTTTTTGGTATTACTTAAAATATTTGGAAGTTTTATTCTGAGATAAATTTACTTGGAAACAGATTAATACTTTCAAGTCATTCTTTTAAACTGTTAGAACAACCTGTACTTAAGGCTAATTCATATCCCTATCAAAACAGTAGTTTTCTATGTTGTCTATGGGATGTCCCATATATTATAAGTTATTTCTTCTCTAGCTAGAGGAACACAAAAATGACTATCCCTGTGCAAGTTCAAGGGATTTCCAGCCCGCTCCTTTTCAATGGTCTTTCCCTGGCATTGATGATGTCTTTACATACATATACTGAATGGCCTTCACCAAACGAATTATAAGGAAGCCTCTCCTGACCTCTCTCCCCATCTGTATAACTTTCTATTTTCTGGTAATTTGCCAACAAAAATTGACTGCCTTAACCTACCTGTTCTGTACTCTCTGTCATCTCTGCTTGGTGATATTTCTAAAGTATGTTTTGGTTAGTTTTCCCTATCCTTTAACCAAGTAAATCTCTCTAGGCAGTGAGCTAGGCATTTATAGGACACACTTCATTTGTATCCTTGTCTGGAATCATTTTCCTGTGCTGTCAATGATCCATGACAGGCAAAGGTAAAAGTTTCTCCCCTTTGTTTTTTGGAAAATAATTGTAATAAATCTTTGCCTATTGAGAGGTGGTTTATATTCTTTCTTTGAAACATTTAAAAGTCATTCAGAGCCAAGTGGTTTATTAAGGGGAATCAAACTAGGAGCAACTAAATATGAGTTATTTTCTAATACACTGTAAACTTTTTTCCTGTGTATAGGTACAGGACACAATATCCAATCCTAGGCCTCCTGTATGATGACTATGAATACATACCACCAGGTAGTGACACACAGACTATTGTGATTGAGAAAACAGAAGACAAATGGACTTGTGTAAGTTCACATGAGTGCTTCTATACCTAATTTGACTATCTCTTATCAGCCTTTACATTTGAGGCAAAATATCAAATATCCTAGACAATTATGAAGGAGAGTAAAGGATGGGGTAAAGACATGTTTTAGTAGAATCTGTTTTGTGTATTTGAATATGGTATTTACTCCTGTAAATTTTGTTAGAATTTTATTAGAATTTTGAAAGATAAGAGGAGATACACACACACACACACACACACACACACACACACACACACACACACACACACATATATATATATCACTAGATTGTAAGATCTTCCAGTTCCAGTTTTACATCCTACAGTGTAGAGTGAGCCTGCTGAACAGTCATTTAAATGCCATGTGGACTAATATCTACTTTCTAAAACATCATCCAAAATCACTAGGTAACACAGACCTCCGCATCATTCAATTCATTGCTAAGGGGCTAATTATTAAAACCTTCTTATGATAAATGATAGCTACTTCTCTAGAACTTTTATTGATTGACTTGTTGACTTTTAAATTAATGATCATCAAAGAGGAAATATAGTCAGGCATAGTAGTGCATGTCTGTACTCACAGGAGCTTGGGAGGCTGAGGCAGGAGGATCATGAGTTTAAGGCCAGCCTCAGCAACTTAGGAAGGCTCTAAGCAACTCAGCTAGACCCTGTATCTAATTAAAACATAAAAAAGGGTTGGGGATTTGGCTCAGTGGTTAAGTGCCCCTGAATTCACTCTCCAGTACAAAAAAAAAAAAAGAGGAGGAAATATATATTCCCAGCACAGTAGTTCTATTCAAGGGTAATTTTGCCCTCTAGGGCACATTAAGCAACGTTTAGAGACATTTTGGCAGCTAAAGCAGGGCTATATATTGGTATAAAGTTTGCAAAGGCCAAAGGTGCTTCTAAATCCTACAATGTGCAGGACCATTCCTCACAACAATGAATTATCCAACCCAAAATATTCATAGAGATGAAGTTGAGAAACCCTGCTAATACAACAAAATACTCTTCATTTTTTTCTCTAATTATATACTCCTACACTCTAATAATTCTAATAATAATCCACTGAGCATAGGAATGTGTGATATCCTGTAGGTGCAATGGACAGGAAAAAGGTTGAGAATGCCAGCTCTCAAACTATACATAATCCATTGTAAAACATTGTAAAAATTCTTGTTAAAATTCCCCAGCTATCCAATGCTTAGGTACTAAAATCAGGAAGAGTTAATCCATAGGTCATTAAAGTCAAGAAGTGATTATTATTGGGAAGTAGGCAGAGGACTATAAAGAGACCACCTAGTTACTAATAATGTGCTGTTTTATGAGTTGTATGATGATGGTATATGTGTGTTCAGTTTGGGAAAATTCATTTAGTTGTACTTTTCTACATGTTTGCAATATGTCAGTAAATACACTGTGACAAGCAATAGATAAACATAAAAATAAATATTTTGCAGAACCTTTTGAAGAAATTAAAATTATATTTCAGATGTATTATTAATAAAATATTTCAGATGTATTATTAACAAAATTATCTGTCAAATAACTAACCTTACCATCAAACATCTTTTGGTTAAACATCTTTTGGTTAAACAAATAATGTATATATACATATAATTTTCGGGGGGTACTAGGGATTGAACTCAGGGGCATTCAACCACTGAGCCACATCCCCAGCCCTATTTTGTTTTTTATTTAGAGACAGTCTCATTGAATTGCTTAGCACCTTGCTATTGCTGAGGCTAGATTTGAACTCACAATCCTCCTGTCTCAGCCTCCAGAGCTGCTGGGATTACAGGCATGCACCACTGTGTCTGGCTCAAATATATTTTTAATATTTTAGTTGCAGATGGACACAATGTCTTTATTTTATTTTTTATTTATTTTTACTTGGTGCTGAGGATTGAACCCAGTGCCTCATACATGCAAGGCACTGAGCTACAAACCCAGAACAAGCTCAATTATTTGAGTAACTCAAAGTTTAGTTTTTAGTTCTGAAACCATCCTTTAACTATATAATCAAGCCATCAGTCTTGTACATATGGTTATCTATCATTAGTGAAAACAACCAATATTTAATAACCCCATATAAATATACCTGAATAATCCAATCTTTGAAATGTTATTTTACTTAGTCATTAATTAGTTGAGAATTACTTATTGCTAATTATGAACTGATAAAGTATACTTGATGACCCAAGAACCATATATATGATTAGCAAAAAATGTCAACAATAGGATTTAAAATTGTCACTCACATAATTTCATGCTCAAAGTGGAAACAATTGTTAATAACCACGTGTCCATAGGTGACAACAGTGTGAGGACTTGCCAAATAAAAAGTTTAGCATAGTAGCCATTTCATCCCTCTACATCAAAACATAAAGCAATAAACATTAAAGTCGATATCTGAAAAGGCTGTAGAGACTGGTAAGAAGTTCAAGTTCAGACGATAGATCCATATTTATTAACTGAAACCTTTGAGCATATATCTAAACTATAAATATGAACTATGGAAGAAATCAACTCAATCTTCCCTGTTCCCTGATTAAAATCATTTGAAAACTATAAGTTCACTAAAGTCAAAAGACAGGTCTTTGTTTCAATTAATACCATATAAAAGAGAACTACAATTGTACAATGTGTTTCCAGTGGTTTTATACATATCAACTTAAATAATTTTCATAATTGTAAGCATACAATAATAATAATGTTTTAATTATGACCCACTGTAAGATAACTTTTTTTTTTCTTTTCTAGCCATGAATGGAAACAACTTTAAAGTATTACATCTCAAAGGAAGTTTTCTCTGTCTATATTAGTATTTTAATTTCTTTTTCCTTCACTAAAGGCCAATCAAAATTTTGAACCATGCTACTAACCAATGAATCTAATGGAATGACTTAATTCTACAGATGAGTTTCTCCAGCCATTTATGAAATATCAATCCTTTCTATTTGTGGCTGCAATGTAGCAGCATACAAACTAAAAGAGGGAACTTGTTTGTTTGAATTTCCATTGCAGACACTGTAGAACCAGCTATTTTTTAAAAATATGGTACATCTTAGGTGGTTAACTAATTTGTTGAGTTAGAGATTTTATGTTATTCCATTAGAATATTTTCTCCAATACTTATTATACAATTTTGTTAAAAGAGTTAACATTGTTTTTAACAAGAGGCAAAAAAATTGAATTTTTAAAATAAAAGACTATAGGGCATGATACATACAATGTACATTGGGTTTTCTCACTTGAAGCCTATGACTAAAAGAGATGCTTTATTACATACTATTATACCTCTTGGAAACATAACTAAACCAAAGTTAATAGTTAGTTTCATTTAGCAGGGAAGTGGGATGATATCTTTTTAAATAAGTAAACCTATTTAATTGTACAGTATGCTACACAGTTCCTAGTACATATCCTTTTGTGCCTTGAAAATTTTCTTTCAAAGCATTTCCTTCCCAAATGAGGCCCACTCACTTCCTTAAAATATGTAATACTCTATTATATTAGTGGTCCAAAAGAAGTTGTAGTTTTTCATAGTGGTATACAAATATTATATTGAAGTAATGCATATATATATAAAAGCATATAGAATAATATAGCAACAAATATTTGATGGTGAATACTTCTTGGGAAAATATTTTATAGTAATGTACTTTAAGTTTGTTTAATTAATTGTACTCTTGATGACCTTCCTTACAAAGTGAACAAAAGAATTTTTAAATACATTACAAGGTAAGAATGAAATGTCTTAATTTCAACTTGTTTGGCTAAAGTTAAGAGTTACTAAAAGTCGTTGTGTTTGTAATAAGGCAACAAATAATTTGAGTTACATGTAAATGAACTTTTGCACTGAACTGTCTGAAAATATCTATATAAAATCATGTGATTCTTTGTAATTACTAAGAAACTATTATGATAAGTACAGATGATGCACTATATGCTAATGGAAACTATAAATGAGAAAAATGTTTTCAAAATTCTTTTATAGAAATATACAAATAGGTCTTATTATGCAGGTAAAAAGACTCATTTATATTATGTAATGCTTTGCCAAAATGTTAGGCTCCATTGAATTGATTCAATTCCTATTTTATCAATATTTTGTGATAGATAACCTTAGTCTTACATTTTTTGCTTGGTGTAGTAGAAACAGAGGAGTTTCTCCTCTGCTAACTGCTCATATATGTAACCATAATAAAGATATATAGTTAGGCACCCACTATAAGTGATATAAGGGGAAGAAACTTTATAAGCCTGATAGAAAACTGCCACCATTACTGTATGAAAATGAGTACAGGTGTGATTTTTCTAAAATATTGAAAACTAACAGTATTCAAAATTTGAAAGCAATTAAGAAGTCCACAGTTTCTTGGCCCACTTGACCCATGGATAGTGAATATGGATCATATTAAGGTCCTTATTATACTCAATTATTTTAAAAAACTCTAATGAAAAATTAATACTATGGAGAGTTCTTCTATATATTTAAATATATGTATGAATATTCAAATATATAAATATATGCACATATATTAAATATATCTTTCATTTGTGATTATTATCGATGGAAAGAGTAATTATATCTTTTCTACTCACTGGTTTTAAACAAATTATTTATGAAAATTACAAAGATGGCAGGTGAGGAATGTTTGTTTACCTAATATCTATTTCAGAATGTTTTCACTTTAGATTTATCAAATAAAATGGAACCTGTACAATAACATATAAAGTAATTTGTTTGTATCTAAAATGTGTTAAGTATTTGTGAAAGTTCAAGTAGGAAATGTGTAGGAAGGCTTTTTAACTTAGCTGTATATTTTTGTCAGGAAGTTATTCTCATGTGAATGAATACTTATGTGGGAACTAATAAGCACCACTCTAATTAACACACACACACACACACACACACACACACACACACACACACACATACCAAAAGGACTTCCTAATGTGAACTAGTAATGATGGTACTTCAACATAATTTGACCTCCAGTTGATGCAGATTTCTGTTTCAAATTAGACTTTCTTCCATATAAATAGCGTTTTCTAAGTACTTGTTTCAAACATAATTCCATAATGCATTCATCCCATCTTTATAATGAGGTTTTAATCGTATTACTTTTTCTTAATGTGGACAGTACCAAATGAACAAAATAAATCTTTTGTAAAAATTGTATCTCACTACACAATTTAGATCCTTACCTAAGCCATCCTCACACTTCTTTATCATTATTGCAATCTACAAAGATAAATGTTTCTTTTCAAAGTAAATGATGTTTTGAAAATATTTCCTCAAATAGTACAACTTTCCCATCACATATAATTACTAAATTTATTGGATTTCCATTGTACATTTTTTGTAATCAAAAATGCAAAGTATTTAATGTTCATCTGAAGATAAAGAGTAAACAGGAAAACTAAAAATAAATATTAAACACATCTTCCTTAATAAAAATATTTAGCAATATTTACTCTATAATAAGAGATACTACTTTTAGTCCACAAAGAAAAACTAGAATTACTCTGACATAATTATGATAGCCAACATCATTATATGATAGATTTAGTAATCTACTTGTATCTATCCCTTGTAGACAATGAGATGTTGTTGGCTTCTCATCCCACCATATTAAAATAGTACTTTTTTTATTGAAGTATATCTTCCTGAGATACTTTATGTTAATGGGAAATTTTACTTTGATCTTATAGCTAGTTTGCTAATACAATCAATGTTGAATGCTCCTAGTTTATATGTGCCAAGATTCAACAAAGCACACCAACTTCTTAAAATGGGAAAATACATAGGCTTTTTAAAAAAAATTTAGTTGTAAATAGACACAATATTTTAATTTTATTTATTTATTTAATGTGGTTCTGAGGATCAAACCCAGTGTCTGGCACATGCTAGGAAAGCAATTTACCACTAAGCCACAAACCCAGCCCATACATAGGCTTTTTAATGTCATGTTCTAACAGTTTCTGATGAGCTAGTCATGTTATTAAGAGTGGGGGGTTTTGGAATCTAGAATGACAGGGTTTGGGAATTAAACAGGAAATGATTAAGACTTATATTAGGGTTTAAGTGGGATAGTGTCCATATTGTCAATTGGTTCAGTTTTAAAAGTGGAGAGCCCTCTTTGCAATAGTTACTTGGGTAATGGTTCAAAGAGAAAGGCATAATAATAACTTTTAGTAGGAGATACTGTACTATCTAGTCTTGAACCTACTGATCATAATATCCAGATCTTATCTAGGATCCAAGGTTTTAAGATACCCTTCTCAGTGAGTTCCAAATTCACATGCTGCCTCTTTTTGAAGGGTATGGTGGGGTTATACAAAGTTGGGAAATTGGGAAAATTCTGATGATAGTCTATGGTTTCAATCTAGTCCTTCATTTTTTGTAAATGAAATCTTACTGATTTTAAAGAACTTGATTCTAAGTCTAGCTAGCTTTTTTTTTTTTTGATTCTCACAAGAGGTTCTCAAAGATCTGAACAAGAAGATTCTTTTGTTCCTCTGCCTGCTATATATCAACAAATCATTTAAAAGATATTTAATACTTGCTCCAAATTAAACGAAATCAACCAATTGGTAAGTGGAAGAAGGAGGAAAATATAAATCAAAAACGATTTGTCAGGAAATTATAAAATTATTGAACTGGGAGAGGGCTACATAGAGGCTAATTATACTCTTCTACAAGTTTGCATATTTGTGTCTTTAAGGGCAGTTCCAGGTTCCAACTGGTAATTGTCTTGTATAAAACACAAGAAACTCAATATAAAGGGCCTTCTTAAATAATTATTCCTAACTACCCTCTCTGTCATGCCCTGGGCCTTTTAGATGTGACAATGGGATAAACCCATCGATATATAATGCCATGAACTCTTCTGGAAAAATGATTTTTCAGTAATTTTCATCTTTTCTTTCTTGTGAAGGTGCTTTAATTTGCAGATCTACATTTTTAGATGGTACATAGGAAAACCTTTTGCCAGTAAAAACCTGTACATTTAATATAATCTTTAATTTGTGACACTGACTTAATTTGTATGTTTTATTTTTCTTGGGCTGAAGCTTTCTAGGTCTGATTTATAAATAAAATTAAATCCAATCCACCTTTCTCCAGCTCCACTGTAACCATGAACTATGGGAATAATTTAGTATGGCTCTCTGCTCCCTTCAGAAACACTATATTTTCACACAGCCTACAGAGTGATTATTCAAAATGTAAATCAAATCTATTACATCCTCCTTGAAACCTCCAAAAGGCTTCCTACTTCAACCGCCTCACAAGTCCCTTCTCCTATCATTTCCTCTTACTCATCATTATTTAACCAAATTTGCTGTCACATGATTTGCATTTTTTTTTTTATCTCTGCCTTGCTCTTCAATAAGATCTTCATGTGACAGCTTACCTCTTGCTACTCAAATGACATGTACTCAGTAAGGAATGCCTCTGTCCACTCACCCATAGTAATCAATTATATTGGATGGTTTTCTAATACCTTATTTTTCATTTGGTGGCAACGTAAAGGAGCTTTCTAGAATTTCACAATTGTAGGTCCCACAATTAAACTACAATATGAATTTTAATAAGCTACCTAGGTGAATCAATATATAAAAATTGAGAACACTGGTGTAACATGTAAAAGTAAATGATTTCTTCCTTTCAGTTAATGGTTATTAAAGAATAATAATCCAATTGACAGTTACAACTAAGAGTGATATATCTAGAATTATTAGCATTCTATTAACTTTGGCCTAGTTAGAACACAGCAAGTAATTTTGTACTCATTTTCAGAAATTATTCTTAAATACTTGAATCAATACTTTCTTTTTCCCATGTACATTAGGAATATAAATAGATATATTCTTATCTCAGAACTATGTCATGTAAACAGGTTAAGAATCTTTAGTTTCTACTAAATCTCAAGACTCTAAAATGGGCAACTATATAGCACTTCATTATGATTTTAACAAATAACATACATTCTTCAGGAATAAACCTGCCACCAGAATTGTTTAAATTCCTAGCTCAAACTATTATTAATTCACAAAACTCAATAAGATGATTAAAAAGTCCAAATTGCCTAAGATAAATATTAAGCTAAAAGACTTTTAATAAGGAATGAACATTACAACTCAATTTTAAATAAGCTCATAAAAACCTAAAAGTGCAATAAATGCTTTTTATTGTATGCTCATTTCAATGAGTAACATTTAGAAATAATAATCCCACATAACAGTGACAATCTTATTTTACAGCGTGTACATCATTTACAGCCACATAACACACAATTTTAGATTTTCCAAATTTAATATTCTGAAGTTAAGAAAGATTAACAAAAATATTCTCAAGTAACTGATTCTTATCTGGTGCAAAAAAAAAAAGAAAAGTGAACATTATTTGAAACACAAAGCCACAATATAGCATGAAGTAAAATTACATTTTAATTATGTTGAAGAGCTGAATGTAAACATGAAGCAACTAAAACTTAAAAGTACACATCATATGCATTACATTTATGAACAGGGTTTTCATTAAAATTTCCCTAAACCAGCTTTTAATATAAGCGCCATTTTGATTTGCAGCATGCTAACACAAAGCGTTGTTAAAGGGATGCATATTTTAAATTTATACACTGTAAACTGAATATCCACCTCCAAACTCTATTGGCAGCATATTGTTCTGTTAAATACCACACAAATACTGCCTCATATTGAAAATGCATGTTAATAACATGGTATATAGTTTTTTTAAATCAAAAATTTCAATAATGGCATAAAATTGCACCTTTAAACATTAAAGCAAGTAAGACTAGAATAATCATACTTGCTAAGACGCCCTAAAAAAACCTCTAAACATTATATTTAAGAAAAGTGTTCTCTCAGTTTAATCTTTAGATCATTAAGAAATATAGTGCTGATTTTGTTTGCAACACTACAGTTGCATCCATTTTAGAAAGCCACATTTGACTCAAATATACTTTTGTCATATATGTCATATAGAACAATAAACTTGAACATCAGAAAAAAAGGGAAGTTTAGTCCTTAGACTTTACCCTAGATTTCAGCACAGAATGCTGTATTTTAAACATCCTATCCTGTGATAAAATATTAGCTGCTCTGAAATTCTTTTAATAGTACTGAATCAATCTAACCTGTTTTTCAGTGAAATTTATTTTAATGAATACACAAAACTTTTTCCTTTTCTGGAATTCAATTTCCAGGTACAATATAAAAGGCTCAATGACTAAATGACTGATGGATGACTGTATTTTATTTCCCTACCCCATTTCTAAAATTGCATAAAAGTGAGGCTTGCTTGCTAAAGCAAAGCATTGCTAAAACTCCTCAAATATGTATTCTCTTTTCAGAAACATTTGTCTCAGTATGATCAGCCAATAAGGTATTTGTCTTTACTTTTCCCCTTTGTAATTTAATTATGCATATAATACTATTAAATAGACATTTAAGTTTTTGCTAAAACAATTCTAAATTTATTATGTAATTTTCAAAGGGCTATGAGATTCCCCTGTCAATTCAAATATTTTAAGATCTTTAATACAAAGAATGTAAAGTTGTGGTTTAATATCAAGCTTTGAAACCAGATAAAACAGATTTTCCTCCAAAGTGGCATATCTTATTTTGTAAATAGCTTCTTTCTTTATATTGATATAATTATATAAGAGCCTCTTTGTGGTGCCTCATAATATGCTGATTT